TTCGATTATAACATAAAAATTAATTCAAATATAATATTAAATATATGATATTTAATTCAAATATAACTTTAAATACCTTAAATTGATATAAAAATTGAAAAGATAAAATTATATAAACTAACAATGTCTTCTTCGTGAATGTATTCCACGTGACGGTAATTGTCTATTTCGAGCAGGATTTCTTTGTTTATGCTGTTCTTTATATTTATTAATATCATCTTCATCAACATCAGCTTCATCTTGTTGTGTCGTATCCAATGTCAAAGAATGACCTCTATGGAATAACGAATGTGGGGTGTGTGATCAACAATTCCACTGCTTAATGAAACTGCGAAAGTTATGAAAAAATGACGTTGGTGATTGGGTTGCATACGATGGTGGTGTTGGTGGAAGAGACCACCAGCCAGATATGATACATATAAAGCAAACGTCGAATACATAGGTAGGGGTATTCAAAACTGGGTACTCGAAATACCAGATACCCAAAATTTTCAGGTATCAGAATAGCGGCCCGTATCATAGCCCGTTAAGTTCGGATACTCGAAAATCGAAATCCGTAAAACTCGCATACACGCATTTTTGGATCAAGAATACCTGTCTTTTTTATTTTTTTTTCTTTAGATTATATTATTTTAAAAATATAAATAGAAAAAATAAAAATTTAAAACTTAAAGTTTTATAATACATAATCTACTCATAAAATTTAAAAGTATAAATTATATGATTAAATAATAAAACTTATTAAGAAATACAATTAAATTTAAAATATTTTAAAGTTATAAGAAATAATTTGAAAAATAATTTATATCGTTGGGGTGAAATCATTAAAAAAAACTTGGAAAATTTAAAAAAAAAAAAGTTAGGGCATATAAGAACTTGGAAGTATATATTTTAAAATTTTGTCTGGAAAATATATTAAAATTTCACCAACAAAACGTAAAAATCAAAACAAAAATTGTTAGGGGGAAAAAAGCGGATCACGGCTGCAAGGTAAGGTTGGATATTTCAATTTTCAACTAGGAACGAGCTGATTGGGATTGTTAGACCTACATAAAATGATACAAGACTCATTTTTATCAAATTTGGAATTAGAATTTAATTATTTGTTTTTTTTTCTTTGATAACTAATCTTAACTATCCAAAAATTTAAAAAAAAGATCAGATACTCAAAATTTTAGATTAGACCCGCACACCCCTAATTATTGGATGAATGGTTTCATTTTAATCAAAATTCAAAAGTAAATTTAATTATTTGTGCAAAACCAATAGAAGATTTTAAAATTTTCATAAAATTTCAAAAAAAAATTATTATATTTACTACAGTAATAATTAAATATTTTATAATTAATTTGTAATATTCAAGTATGCAACCTAAATAGAATTATTTAATTCATAGTACATTTGAAATTAAATTTCATAACATGTTTTCCATATATAACACATATGGTGAGCAGGCAAAGTACAATTAAATTAAATCATTGCTTCACCAAAAGGTGAGGGTCAAAGAAAGAATGAAACATTGGGAATTGCATATACATGAGACAGAGAAGTAAATGAATCATATTGTCTTGTGAAATATACTTTAAATATCGTGACATTGTCTTTAATATTATTGGCATAAATTATGTTAGATATCTTTAAATTTTAATTGATATATGAATTCATCAAGTGATTTCAGTGGAAGAAGAGAATGTTTTTTCCAAAAGTCTTTGAATTTGAGTAGTTATGTTTGTAGGATGTGCGTGTTATAATTAGTTAAGAAAGTTATGAACATAATTAAATTTTAATTTTGACTTCAATTATATTACTGAATTATTAAATTTTAACATCACAATAATATGAATGAATCTTTCCGTCATTGTAATGACGTGGACAAAATGAACCTTCAACGGAAACTGATAGTAAATTTTGCATGCTCAAAAGATAATCAAACAAGCTGATACTAGGCGGTAACGGTTTTAGGAGGCCTACCGTTTCTCCAACGTCGAGAAGTACAACATCACAATTAAAATTATGGGCGAACAATGATTTTATATTAGGACAAATTTTTAATATTTTAGATGTAGAAAATATTAAAAAAAATATCTAAAATATATAAAAAAATTAAAATTTTCAGTAGGACAATCGCTCCGTTAGTCCTACTCAATTAGCTGTGATTAAAAGTTCGCGAAAAGATCAAACTAGAAACCATCAAGAATGCTCCTAAAGCAGGCTGGTCATTTTGCCTCTCCCTTGGATTTTGATACATTGCCGTCCTCTGGCCGTGTCATCCCCACCGTCAGACCCTTAAGATGTGAGCATTCAGGTATTGGTGCCGGTGAAAGTTATGGTAAAGGGTCATTTCGATCATGGATTTAAATTATGATATCGAACCGTTATTTAAATCCCTAATCATGATAAAATAATAGTGAAAACAACCACCAAACCTTACCCTACCTGAACCAACATATATATATATATATATGATTCTTAATTTTATTTGATAAAAAATGGATCTAATTGAAATAAATAATATATTGAGAGGTATTATTACAATTATTCCCTGAACATGTAAGGTATAATTACATTAAATTTTGGATCAGGTTGAATATTTTTCAACATAAACCCGAATTCGACCTGACCTGGATCTGATTTAAAAAACTGATCCAAGAAAATCGAACCGGATCAAAACTTATCGAATTTGAAACCTATGCCCATTCCTAACTATAACGACAACAACATCACCATAACTCTATCAGGTTAAATTCAATATATCATTTAAACATCTCTATATATAAGAGCAGTTGAGTGGTAGCCTTTAACCATTATTATCAAAGGGAGAAATAATTTAATAAAATTTGAGCAATCGTTAAAAAAAGTATGTTTGAACGAAATCCAGAATCTAAACATGCAATTAATTATGTAAAATATGATTAAGTTCAAATTATACAAAGTAAAAGGATTAATATGCAAATAAATCCAAAGATAAAATAAAATAAATAGAGAAAGTGTGCGGGACGGGTCAGTTTCGCCCACGGGCAATATGTGAACCCTGCTCGAGTTGCCTGACCCGGCCGCTTAATATATATAACTCAAAAGTTTTATTTAGCTCATTTTATTAAAAAAAATCTATTGTTTTGTTTGCTCTGATTTCTCGGCTGCCAATTGAGAAATTAGCCTAGGGATCGGCCACACCAACCGTCGTACACCATTAACATCAACGGTGGTCGAAAAATTCGAAAACTCTCACTCTCTCTGATGATTTACTTTAGTTAAAATTTAAGATAAATTACATGTTTAGTATTTTAACTATCGTTTTTGTTCCGTTTCGGTTACTCAATTATTTTTTATTTCAAAATCATACCTAATGTACGTTTTAGTTTCGTTAAAAAAACAACAGAACTATTGATGTGTCATTTTTTAATTTCTTTTTCAAATATAATGTGACATTATCTTATGATGACACGTTGTTAATTTTTTTAATGATGGATGATCAAAGTGAAAGCAAAATGTAACGTTAAATATTATTTTAAAACAAAAAATAGTTGAATGATCAAACGGAATAAAAATGATAGTTAGAGTACTAAACATGTAGCCTAAAATTTGTTTGAGTAATGGGGCAATGATGCAGGACTTATGTTGGTTTTGAATCCTGGTATTAATGGTGTAAACATTACTCAATTGTCAAAACAAAAACAACAGGCGTTAGATTGCTAACAGATTTGATGTTGCAGTGGAGTTGGATCTTATTTGTCACTAAACATTCCTTGATATGGTCTTTTCATGCATCAATTCTCTGCTCTTTCCAGCTTGTTTTACATTGTTTGTGATCCTTTTCTTCTTCCTTTAGGCCTCTTTGCCGATGGCTTTCAAAAATGCTAGTTTTGGTGGTGGTGGAGGTCGCGGCGGTTGTTCTGCTTGCATGCATCATCGTAGGATCACGTTCCTTTCTCTTTTTATACCTAACATTAGCATGTAAAAACCCTCGTTTATCTTCAACCTGCATGTGACAACGAGATGACCAAACCAGGAGAGTCATTTAGCAGGAGAAAGCTAATGTTGTGTGAGTTTTGCTCTGCAAATTCATGTATATACACTTACATTCAACCGTGCAGGTCCACGGATGGTTAAGTAAGGTCGAGTCATGGATGAAGGAACGTGCAAGCCTCGTGACGGCATCGACTCCGCCATACGATCTCTACCTTCTAACAATTGTGTCATCACATCTTTTTCATTGTTGATTGGAGAAAAAGTATGCATTAGATGATCTGGCTGAGTTTCCCATTCAACTTCATCTCCATCAATAATCGTTTCCATCTTATCGCAATCTACCAACAGGCAAAACTTCAGCTTTAGCATGTTCTCGTTCCCGAATTCAGATAGACTCGTAGCGTTTTCATGGCGGTCCAAGCAGAACGAGGAAGAAAACACAAGTACTTATCTTATTTGAAATGGGATATTTTCACCATTCACAAACTTCAAACATTGGTTCCATTTTGTGAATTCGGCTTCAACTTTATCAGGTACACGTCAGATGCTTCTACTTTTATGATGACCAACAGTGAATTTGAAACATGTTAATGAAGGATACATGAATGAAACATAATCTAAATGTTGGTAATCTGGTAGGTACAAGCAAAGGCTCCTCAATCCCACTAAGTTGCATACTCCTTTTACAACTTCTTCCACGGAATCATGCCACCACTAGTCCGATGGTTCGACTAATTACTAATTTTTTTTATTTAAGTCTTATTTTATAACTCAAACTTTATTTGAATTTTTTTGAACCGAATCGAGTTTATGAAATTACAAGTCAAGTCAAACTTTTTAACGACGAGTCAATTTTCAAATCGAGTTGAATTTTACTCACTCCTAATACGAATTACATATTCTTGAACCATTAAATAGTGTTTTGTAAGAGGAGAATGGTGACATTACCAGCCATTTAAAGCCACATAAAGTTCACTAAGTTCATCAATCACATCCACAATACAACAAGAAATTTCAATAACCAGAGCAGATCGATAATAAAATACACAGATGAATCTGCACTTCGGAAAAGAAAAAAGAAATCCAACTAGGCCGAAAACTTTTTCGACCCCGAAGCAAATGTTTCCGCTACCAGCAGAGGGAAAGCAATTGTTGCATCACAATGTACCTTAACTGTCCTAGCAGAGTCCCGTATCTTCCCCCAGGAAACAGCCTCGTCCGGACGGGCTCCAGAGTCACTCCCGTCGTACTCTTGTGCTGTATTTATATAAACAGCGTAATCGGCACCGTTACGCATCATGTTAGCATTACAGATATGATGCTTCGGCAATCCGCCTCCCAGGATTATCATTCCTGTTCTCCTAGGACTTGCAAGGACTGCTTCACTATTCATCGCCCTAACATCTGCTCAAAACAACGTTACTTAAACTTGAGTATGAATATCGAATACGGATATGTGTCGTGACGTACCTTGCACTAGATCGATTATCAGACCGGGGCTGCGAAACGAATGAAAATACAACATATCCCCTAAAGAGCCATCTGTTAATCCGGGACAGAAAACAGGTATCTTGTTCTGGAAAATAGAAATAGATAACAAAAAAATGAGGACTTCAATGGATCCACAGTTAATGAATGTTAATTATACCGATACTAACACAAAAGCAAGGAGGCTTGCCTTGAATGCCCAGTAGAGGTAAGAACTGTCGTTATTTATTTCTCGTCCCAGCCGAGCAATTAGCTTTGATGGAGTCCACAACACATTCTGTCGAAACCAAAAATCATTGTGCCATTTCATACTTATCAGACTAATTAGAGGGTATGGCATTTTGACTTGTGTTACATATTCAGATGCGAGTATCAAATAAATTTATTTAAAAGAATATGCTGATTGTCGGCAATCTCTAAAATAGGTGGTTAAAAGCTCTCGACTGATACTTCTCTTTTCTCCTGGGTTGTGAGTTCTTATACTATTTTAAAATTTAAAGCTTAATTTCATGCTTTGATTTTGCAACATTGAATTGAAAATCATATTCACTCCGTAAACTTTTATTAAATTTTAATGTTAATTATTGGCCTGGGAACTATAAAAAGGTAAAATAATTTTTTAGTCTCATTTTTTTTTTTATTTTGACCCTTAATCTTTAAGAATAAATAAAAATATCATTAACTAAACAATATAATTTTTCAATCATTTATATATACAAATTTTAAAGATCAATTTGATAAAAACTACAAACATAAAGACTTAAAAAAGTTACTTTTAACTTTTTATAGTTGTTGGGTTGATTTAGATAAAATTAAAGTATGAGGATAAAATTTTAAATTTTAAAATAATAGTGAGACCTTTGACATATGTATTTAAGAGTTAATTGTAGGATGTCTCAGTCTCATTTTAAATTAATCCATAAACTTTAAATCGTTTTATATGAATCTATAAATTATGTCCACGTTCTAAATTGATCCATGTTCTATACTAGTAGAGTTACAACATGTTAATAAAAGGCACAAAATGAATTAATATTAATAGTTCGTGGATTGATAAAGAATATTAAAGTTTAGGGACTAATTTAAAATGTCATAAAAAACTGATATAAAATATTTAAAATTTAAGATCCGATTGGTCGTAATTTAGACACATAGGGTATGATGACATGCATGTGCGTGTGAAAGTACCTCTTCAAGTTGTTCCTTTAACATCTGATCAAGAATCGGAATGATCCAATCCTCAAATCTGCAGTAATTATCATTAGGAACCAACAAGTTACCAATGCGATTCAGTCCTCTTGAACGCAGCTCAGCACCAGGCAGCGAAAAATCACCCTTGTACGTAGGAGAAAGACACTTTATAAGATCTTCTTCTATGCCACCGGTCGTCGTCACTATTACATCTACCTAAAATCATTCCGAAAGCAACACCGGTTAAATCAAGAGACAGGCGGGCACTACCGTATAAAAGAAAGTCCTGTTCGGAACTCACCATGCGATGCTCAGTAAGATATCGAACGGTTTCTCGAATGCCGGACGAAATAAGATTCGATGTAAAACCTAAAAACACCTTGGTCCTCACGGATTCTATGTAGGTGGGATCGTTCTCCTTTTCACTGCCGTTTTCGGCTATTGTCTCATCAGAAAGCCTCCAATTTATCTGCATTTAAGCTCACACAAATCCAAAACATTATGCTACATTTGGGTAAATAAGTTTAGAAAATCAGTCGAGATTCGATATGATTCGAGAAACCGACCATGTTGTTGACGATTTCGATAGCTTCTCCGAGATTGGAAGCTTGGAAGCCTGTGGAAAGCATGGATTTGAGAAGTCCGGAGTAGTTGACACCCTGGTTGAAATCATAACCCTCAATTCTAGTACAAATCCCTTCAAGTGAATCCGAGTCTTTGAAAACTGCCGAGTGTGCAGCCTTTAGACCTATTTCATCCATTATCTCCTTCTATAATTCTATTTGCCTAAAAAGATATGATTTTAAAAAAAATAATTTAGTGACCAAAACTAAACAAAATGATAATTATGATATTAAACGTGTAGTTTACCCCAAAATTATGAACTCCATGTCTTAAAATTAAAGTATAATAACTACGTTTTAATTTTAAAGATCGAAATATTTGGCATATTAAAAAAGAAAAATGAAAAGAAAATCCACATAGGATGAGGTTTATGCAGCCATAAACGGAAAAGAAAAACAGAACATTGACTAATAGATTACCAAGTATACCAACGCTTAGATTGCTTTGCTGTATTAAGAACACCATTGCAGGGTTACCGTCGGCGATAGATTGGCCGGCTATTGGACGCTGGTGGCGGTGGTGGTGTGGCGGAGATGAGAATAGAACGGTGGCAGAGATGGGATATAGATGCAAGAGAATGGGGGCAGAGTAAACTTTATATAACCCGAAACGACGGACTACTTGTTTAAAGGCTTAATAAAACTATTAGCCCCTTTGACAATACTTTGTTTTATCGTTTTTTTGGTTATCAAATTATCCTAAAATTGTTAATTTCGCTTAGAAAATCGACATTGTGATACTTTGATTAGTGTCTTGTTTTATTAGGAAAGATAAATGATATATCTTACTTCTCAAGTTTTTTTAATTTGTTATTATTGAGAAAATTATTTTATTTAAATATAATTTTAAATAATAAATTAAAATAATTATATTTAATATTATATATAATACTACACAACATAATGGACACGAACAACAGGAAAAGTCGGTGAAATAAAAAAAACGTGACCAATAATGGATTATATAATTTAAAAATAAGTGATAGAATAAAACATCTGTAATATAAGGAGGGTTTTCGACTCTAGTTTTTTTTTCTTTTTGTTTAGTCATTGTTATTTTCTTTGACGACAATATTAATTTTAGCGTTGGTCATTGATCACCAATATTTATTATTTTTATTTAATAATTATGTCTTTGAGACATATTTTTTTATCTTTATAACACGTTTTTTTTAGTCTTTTGGTATGTTTTCGATCATTTGATCGTTATTTTTGTTTATTCTTTTCTCAGGGTTAGATTTAACATCATCGACTGATCAAGATGTCGCTTTTGTTATCGTGTTGATATTCCCTTCTTTAGACCTCGTATTGGATTTAGATACGTGATTTGAGTCGTTGATAATTTTCTCTCGTCGTTTGATTTGATTTGCGGTTTGTAGGTGGTCTTTCAATAGATTGGTCTTCTTTTGTGGTTTGTTTACCAATACGGTCATATTTATTTATATTTATCTTTTGTTCGAGTTTATTTGGTTAGATTTTTTTAACATTTTCCTTCTTTATGGTTCATGAGTGATCTTAAGTGACTAATTTCTTATGTTAATAATTATATGAAACTATCATTATTATGTGTTTAGTTTACAATCGTAATTATAAACCTTCATTATTATTTGAATATTTTTTTCATTTTTAATATAACTAACAGGTTCTATCTTGTCAAAAAAATTGTATATTAATGTAAAAGTGGGAGAAAGAAAATATATATAATGGATACACATATCCGTAATATTAATATAAAAGTTGGAGGAATAAAATATATATAATGGATACCCATATCCGTAATATTAATATAAAACTGTGTATGCGTTATATATATAAAGGTGGTTGAACGAATGAAATGTAAAACATGAGTGTTTTTTTAAGTATAGATGTTCGATCTATTAATTAATCTTAATAAATATTGTAAAAATTCATTATTAAAATAATTTTTTAATATCAAGATTCGAAATTTAGATTAGGGTGTACAAAATTCGATTCGATCGATATGATATGTTGATCCGTTGATCTTATCCGAAAATTCATATATCCGATTTGTTTTTTGATTTTTAGATAATTTGAATCATATATATGAGAAAAAAGGATAATCTAATTGGATACAAATCTTAAATTCTAATTTCAAATTATCTACAAAACGATAAAAAATGAGTCATTAGAGTTTAGATAACATTTAGCTAATAAATGAGTAACACACTAACCTACTAATACTCTAATTCAATAAACATAACGATATTTAATTATTTATTGTGTGCGAATAATCTGAAATTGTGTGTGGGTGTGTATAGAGAATATAATAGAGATCCTAGTTCGAGCACAAGAGATTAAAAAGGTGTTTGAATTTTCATTGTCAAAAAGTAGAAAATCTTTAGAACATATTTATTTGTATCATCCTAGATTAATAAAAAAAGTCGCCAAATATATAATTCAAATATGAATTTTTTGTCAAATTAAATTTTATGTTTGAATCTGAATATCCAAAATTTGAATATCTGGATATATATCACATTTTTAATTATTTAAGCTTTTAGGTATCTGAAATTTTAAATCAATTAATATCTGGTACGGAGAAATGAACATTTACTTTAGACCTTATTGTCACTAATGACATCTTTAATTCCATCAAACAATCTGGTTTAATTTAGGTAAAATACACCCAAAGTCACTCAATTATAAGTTTTATAATAAATATTTCACTTTTTTCTATTTATCACAAACAAGTCACTCAATTAAAGATTTGTTATAAATAAATTATTTGATCGTTAAAATTGAAACGGAAGGCTAACATGGATTATTTATCCATGAATATTCCATAATGAATAGAAAAAAATGTATTACTATATAAACTCAAATTCGATAAAAAGAAAGAAAACCTAAAATTTCATCATCGTTTTCTTCTTTGTTTGGCAACAGAAAAGAAAGGTAAGAAAAAGGAGAAAGAAATCTGAAGGTTGCTAAACAATGGAGAATATCGACATGAATCATAGCTACTTTTGTAGACGTCCATGTGATGTAAGGACCACTTGGACATGATAATACAGGTGCTACTTTTGTAGACTTCCATGTGATGTAAGGACCACTTGGACATGATAATCCAGGTAAGCATTTTTTTTGTTGTTATATTATCGTGGTTGTGGATATAAAAAATGTTATTATGATCATTACAAGTATCGTGATCATATAATAATAATTTCGGATGACACTATTACCGCTATGTGATTCGTTATTTCAATAACGATAGATCCTGATTGCAAGAACCATGGAAAGTCTCGAAAAGTTCCTACAACTTCTTTAGGTGGTATGATCCACCAATCACGACAAGGAAAAAAGTTATCATTCCTGGATTGTCGAAGAAAATTAACAGAAAGGAGAGATAAAGAAAGAAATGGAGAATACTTTGGGCTTATCTTGGTAGGTTTAGGGTTCTTTGCATGGCTTTTGAAATAGAATTAGGTAGTTGACAAAGAATTGTTGTAATACTCAACATTCGATTTAAAATATTTAACAAGTTTACGAGAGTCACATTCAGCTATGGGGGTGATCATAACTTTTTAAAATATTATAAACTGTAAAAATTTTAAGTTAAAATTTTTATATAAAATTCAGAGCTCCTTTATTACTAAAACATATATGCATAAATAAGATGTCCGAATAAATTTCTAAATTGACTCATTAAGGTTTCAAACTTTATATGCCTACATATGTAAATAATTATCGTACATGAAAGATTTTACTGTGATTCCTTTGATGATGTTGTTGTCTCGTTACGAGTCAAGAAACATGTAAGGTTGTAAACTGTGTACGATAATAATCTGAATATTGAGCTTACAAAGCTCATTGATACACATATGCATCGACCACCGTCGTTAGTGACAGTCAAAGTCTAAAATTTACATGTTGAACCTCTTTGACTGCCTGATCTTGAATTTGACCTCCGATTACCAAATAAACATCTTTGGTAGTCGTAGATCTACCCTATACGAATCAACATTTCAAATTAAATATCGTTTCATCCGTCGTTGAATGATGTTCCCGCCAGTATGATGCTCCTGCCATTATAAGAAGTCTATCAACCGCACAAATCTTCAAGATGAAGCATAGTTCGAGTTTTATCTTAAAATGATATATCGGGTTCGGATCAGATGAAGTCATCCTAAACCCGAGTTGGTTGGATTTCGAGCGGAGAGTACATATTTTTCAGGTCGGTCGGTTTGGTTAGAAAATTGACATATGCCCATCCCTATACCTACTGCCAATAAACTACCTCAAATAACCTTTAGTAGCATGTGCTTTTAGCATGTTAAATGAAATTAGGGAAATATATATTATTTTATATTAGATGACGAATTTATAAATTTTAGGAATACAAAAATAAATTTTGAATATAAAGAATTTAAATTTTAAGAGACGACTCTCCCATTATCCTTGGTATGGACCCTACTGCCACTATGATAATACCTCAACCACCATTACCTAAAAGTTGCAAGCATCATCAATATATTGTTTAAAATCATGCAAATTTCATTATCCAATATGTAAGAATAATAAAACCTCAGCTACCATCACCAATAAAGTAATTGCCAATGCTAAAATTGGATAAAACATCAGCACCATCATTTTTTATTATCAATTAACACACATGCAAAACAGACAAGAGACTTTCAAACAAGACCCACCAAATATTCGACCTGAATTATGGAACAATGTGTTTTAACAATTCTACACATGTCACACAATATTTTCTGGCTTTACCCTAAATTTTATATTTTCATTATGAATTTAGGATTACTGAATCGATTGTCTTTTGAAAATTTTAAATTTTTATTAATTATTTATTTTCATCTTTTAAAATGTTATAAGATCGTTCCCCAAGTAAAAAATTATGTGTTCGTCCCGAGTATATATATTTTTATTTTATTATCAATATTTGATCTATTGATTGATTAATCCAAATCAAATATTACAAAGGTTTATTATGAGAGTGACATTCCTAACTCAGTTTGCTCCATTCATAGTGTCAAGATTCAAACTAATAATCTTACTTAAGAATCTAACGTCTCGTCCCATTATACTAACTAATTGTTGGTCGATTTAAAAATAAATGATAATGTGTTTTTTTAGTGGGTGAATATATAAATATATATATC